CCACGTGAATAAGTTGAAGTTACATCCTTCTAACAGGAAAAGTAACTTTCGTTATCATGGAATTATAACAAAACCTGCCAATTCAATATAAATGGAAAAAAAATATTATATGGAATTGAACGAAAATGAAAATTTGCTTGATAATTCAACTACGCTTGTTGGAGAACAATAAAAACACTACACTCAACAAGCCATCAATAAAACTCAACTGCCTAACCTATAACTAAAGTCTCCTTTTAATTTGTTTTTTAAAAAAAGTGCTTGACAAACTTGCCCCGCATGCCGAAGTTGCCCCGATCTCCCCTAATAATTTTCCAAATAAAAAAAACCTTAAATATGTAGTTGAAAATGTAAAATTCTCTTATTGCATTGTTCTTTATTCAATAATTTTCAGAAATGGAGAAGAATGGTGGAGATTACGTCGTCAAGTCAATTGGATGCTTCTTTCTGAAGTAGTCCAATTTACTTTTCCAAAAACCGTGAATTTGGCCGATGATTTTGTAAAAAGGGTGAGATTAATTCGTGACGATAAAAATGAAATTGGAAACTTTTTGAAGGAAATCTACAGATTCACTCTCGAAGGTTATAATTTAATTTAATTTAAGTATTTATAATTTAAGTATGTTTAATTATTTGAGAAAAATGTTTCAATTCAATACTATTTTGTTCATTTTATTCTAATAGCATCTGCCCTAGTATGCTTTGGTAAACGTTTTAGTAATTTCGACGAAAAGGCAGAAGATGATATACTAACTGCAACTGAAGACACATTGGAAAGCATGGGCAAGACATTATTGGAACCACCATTGTGGAAATTAATCAAAACGCCAATTTATAGGAAACTGGAAGAGTCGCAAGATTTTTTCTATAGGTAACTGTTAAAGTTGTTAAAGTAAGATTTGAAAAGATGTAATGAGGTAACGCAATACATGGGCGATCTACCAAAGGCTGGGTGCCTCCCAGGGAGGACTGCATGAAAAACTGGTCCCTATTTAGGCGAAGAATAACCAGAAAACTCCAAGTAGCCAACCATGAGACACGAACTCACGAACGATTACCGATGTTCAATGATTTTATCTACTCAGTCACTGGTGGGCACTTTTGAAATTTAACTAACGTTTATATATTACATGTAATAAACAGATGGGCCGGCCGAATGATCGCAAAGTATGATTTCAAATTCTGGCTTAACAAATAGTAACGCGTTTTTGTCTAGATTTCCTTCTGTGGGAACTATGAATTTTCTTGTTTTACAAGAATTACATTCCGTTTCTGGTTGGCAGTGGGACACTTTCATAAATATTTGAGCTGGCTTAAACTCTCTTCAGCTTTTAGCGATTCTGTTGTGTATGCTCTGAATCTAATTTGTAAGTGTGCTTGGTTAAACGTGTTCATCTGATTTCTCCTTTTTCTGAAATCTGATGATGTCTGCCAGCTTTCTATTTGAGGTAAAATCTTCGCAGAGACCAGACTTCTGAAATAGTTTCATACGTGAGCGATCAATGGTTAATTTTGTTTGATGGAAACAGTAATGCAATAAATAGGCAATCTACACGAGGGGATGCCTCCCGGGATGACTTTTCTATGAGAACTGGTTATTATATAGGTGTTAGACACGTGAAGTAAACCCGGCAAACTCCGCGTGCCCAGCCCGTTGGTGAAGCATGAATTTTACAATCTTTTCTTTCATTCTTTTCAACGAATTCACTTTTGCATGATAAACTATAAATTTAATTTCTAGCAGTAAAATGATAATGCTTTGTATAATAAAATATCTATGTTATCAATGTAGTTATAATTTGTTTCTTAACAAATTTCAGAACTTCCAAACAGATAGTTGAAACTTTTAAAACGACGATAAATCAATCAACAGAAAAACATTGTTTCTTACTAAATAAATTGATAAATAATCAAAATCTCGACAATGCAGATGTTATTCTATTACTGATGGAGATATTTTCAGCTGGGGTAGATGCTGTAAGTAATAGCAAATATTTATGATTGATGCGTAGAAAACTATTCTTCAATTATTACAAGATACAATCAAATCTCCAATAACGGCCACTTTTCCACGAACTTTCGAACAAAAAATGCATACAAAGTAACCTCCAAACAACAGTTAATTTTTATGATTCCATCAGTGGCCGTTATTAGAGGTTCGACTATAATATTTACCTGATATTGAATGCAATATCTTGTTTGCAGACAGGTATCACTCTGGCTTATCTTTTGTATAACTTAGCAAAGAATCCAGATAAACAAGATATTCTATACGAAGAAATAAAAAATTTCGATGATTCTCCAAACGAATTACAGAAATATATTTATTTAAAAGCTTGCATTAAGGAAAGTATGAGGTATGTGACAATTGTTATTCTTTTTTCATAATTAAAAATATAATTAAATATGTTTTTTGAATATAGACTACTTCCAACGACTGGTGGCACCGCAAGAATCTTAACAGATGATCTTATTTTAAGAGGTTATCGTGTACCACGAGGAGTAAGCAACGGTTTTCTAATTTTATTTCATTTTATCATACACGGAATCACACTATTTTCTTACAGACTACATGCTTTGGAATGCATCCATTAATTGGAAAGAGCTCTGAATACTTCTTGAAAGCATCAGATTTTGTTCCAGAAAGATGGATTCGAGAAAATGGAATGCTGGAAGAAAAAATCCACCCATATGCTATTCTTCCTTTTGGACATGGACGAAGGCGATGTGTGGGGCAAAGAATCGCAGAACAAGAAATGCAAATTTTCATTACTAAAGTAAGAGAATTAAAGTTTGAAATCTATTATTCAAATATAAATATACTGTATGTATGTATTACAGGATATTATATAAGTCTGGATCTTTGTTTATTTCTTACAGGTAAATATGACGCTGTGTAAAGAGAACGAATTCAAGTTATTTTTGATGGTGAGACCAACAATCAGAAGTGCTGAGGAGTTTAACAGACTGCATCTAGATCGCAGTATATGATTAGTGGAAACTGAATACAATTTGTTAAACTGTTTGGCTACTTCACACCGACTGTGAGTCTTCATCATCAAAAATAACTTGAATTCGTCCTTCTTTCTCAACGCCTTATCTGTAAAATAATAAACCAAGATCAGTCAGTGTTAAGTGTTCTATAGTTCCAGACTTATGGAACATACTGTATATTCTACGTATAGGAGCCGTTTAAGTATTATATCAACAAAATAGTGCCCTGTATTCATTCCCCCTAATATATCAGTAGGCCAGAAATTTAAACCATTTGTAAATTTACAGGAATTATTTTAAAACAATTTTGTGATGACTGGAGAGAAAAACAGTGGATATGTCAGCAAAGACTGATCCTCCTCCATAAACTGTTGACGTAATATTAGAATGGTCCAATATTGCTAATAAAAAAGCCGTCGTGTGTGTAAGAATTCTTCATAACTCTTGTAATTTTTATCCAATCCAGATAAAATTTTGGTTATATTGGTTTTATGTTCTGACGGAAAGAATAGGCTATTTATTTTGCGAAATACAGTGGGTGATCGGTTAACGAACATAATCCGTTCCAAGACTTTGTTCGCCATCCGAATTGTTCGTTAACCGATTATGGATTTACCATTGGTTTTTATGGAAATTTGATTAATTCGTTTTGGAGACCCCAAAAATAAAAAATATATACTTTTTCTTATTACGTTTATTTATATGTAATAATAAAAATACATATATACGCAGTCTTGCATTTTTATTAGTCACGTTTTTTCCGTTTGTGGGGGTTAAAGAATCTGTCTAATTTTGATTGCTTTTCTCTTCTTCAGGATTTTTCAGTAGTAATTAATAGCATTATAATTGTAGAGATTCTCAAGCCTATTAATCTCAACCTGGTTTGGATGTCATCCTAAGACAGTTGTTCTGACATCCTCCCACTTCTTAAAAAGATGTTTAATAGTAGATATCGGCATTAATCCTCTTTTTCAGAAGCAAACATATCTCACCGAGTTTCTTGGTGTTCTTCATTCAAGAGTTCTTGCCGTTCTTCTGTCGTCAGATCCGTTTCAGGTTCCATTACGAGCTCTTCGATGTTCTTTATTTCTCAGATGTGATTTTTGTTACTCCTTTAGCTGCTTGAGTCTTCTCGATTATACTTTATCTTTCTTAGATAAGATTGAACTGCGGCATACTGTAGACCTATTCAAGCCATACTGCTCAGCAATATCAAACATCTGCCCACTCTCTACATTTGCTATTATACTCTCACTTTTCGAAAATAACGAGTGCCCGCCCGACAGTCTCGCGAATACTATAAAAAATTCTGTGTGTCAGAAAAATAAAAGGCTGGAATTACAAGGGAGAGTTCCAAAGTTCGGAGGAATACTATCCGATCGGTATATACCGGGTTGAGCGTCGATGTCAACGTCTCCCGCGCTCCGAAAAGTATCGAATTGTTGCCTGAAGACAAGGGAAGACCAATCAGTATTCATTATTTTAGGTTGCTTCTTCTTGTGTTTGTTCTGTGAGGCGTTCGTTGTCCGAACATAAAAATCTTTCGAAGTGTTCGTTAACCGATCACCCGCTGTATTAGATATAAACGTTTTATCTATTTTGGATCGGTGATCACACTTATCTTGCAATGCTGTCATTGACCTCATTTAGTTCATGCTTGACGACGGAATTTCCCTAAAAAAAAGTTGCACTTTTAAATATTTTGGTAAGTGACGTATTACTTGCCAAAATACCAACTTACATCATTAAATTTAAATTTTCAACTTAAAAATGATAGCCGCATCGTGTCACTTCTATAACAAATTTCTTTAAAAATATTTCCTTAGTGATCACATGACGTTTTATTATCGAACCGGAAGTAACGATCTAACGAGCCCTTTATTAAGAAAGTAATCTAACTAACGTACAATACTGTACATACAATTTATCTGTTTTACCGACGTGGAATTAAAAAGACTCGCTATTTCATCAAAAAAAAAAAAAAAATGCCTAGGGAAAGCGTAAGAGAAAAACTTGTTAACTCTATGTTGCTTCATTCCGTTCAAGAAATCGAAACAACTCCTACTATTTTTGTCACTCCAGATGAAATTTTGTTTCGTTGCTCTTTATGTTATAACAGTATATAGGCCTACTACTTAATTTTTAGAAACTCTTCTTCAATTTTTTGAAATCGCCACTCTTCTCAATTCTTCAATCTCTACTTTCTCACAAAAATTATTCCGTTATGTTTCTACTATATATATATGTTATTAATTTAATAAATTTTCAGATGTTGAAGAATTTCCGTGTGCAGTTTCCAAATGAAGATATAAATTGCGTAATGAGATTGCAACTTGTTCCCGATCGACCATTATTATTTCGATTTATTGATCGATCGTAATCAATAAAGATTTTTTAAAGCACAGCATTAATTTTAATTTTGGATATATGAGTACTAAGGTTTGGCTCTATAGAGGACTTATCACACTATTGACGTTTGTCAGAGTAATCAAACAGTAACAGGTGAACAGAGTTTTATTATAACTACCGTATGCATTTCGGGCAGTCTTATTATCTGTGCTCGTTACACTTTGGTGGGTTTACAGGACTAAAATACAAACGGTATTACGTTACAAAACAATGATTAATGATTAAAATAGTTTAAAAGTACAATTTATACATACTTAAATGGTACATTATATTTGTTGCCAAAATGTGGATATCTTTATTATTGGTTTTTACAGACGTTTTTTATTTACATTACAAATAGTAACAGAGATTATACATGTTGTTTAATGAATTCATTGTGAAACAAATGAATACAAAGTTATAGACCTAAGCAAGGTTTAGTTACAAATGTAAAAATTGTTTAATTTTTAAAAAAGGTATACACGTATGTAAACCTTACACACGTTAAACGGTATAAATACATTTACAGTCTATCAGCTCGTAATACCGCTTGTATTTTAGTCCTGTAAAGTGTAAACCCACCAAATTGTAACGAGCACAGATGATAGACTATCCGAAATGCGTACCGTAGTTATAATAAAACTCTGTTCACCTGTTACTGTTTGATTACTCTGACAAACATTAATAGTGTGATAAGTCTCCCATAGAGCCAAATCTTAACACTGGTGAAAAATCGAGTGTAAAATCTCTCGCCCAAATTATTCTTATCACGTGACCTACTTACGTTTCTCTTGGATTGCAGTGGGGTCCTGCTTTAGTACTCATATATCCAAAATCGTAATACTGTATAAGGACAAAAAGCAAAACACCAATAAATTTTAATATTCAAATAGTAATTTTTTTTATTAGATTATTGTATCAATATATTTGTAGCTATCAATTTCGATTTTCTGAATTGCCTAATTATCATGTATCTGAAATCTATTTAATAAATTAAATTAAATTAAAAATTAAATAATGAGTAGTTGATTCATACTTTTTCCAAACAATTATAATTAATTCATCATATACTGTATTTACTTGAATTTCGGTGTGGTGGCAGATATAGAGATTAGAAGAGACCGGGGCTAGTTGTCACAGTTTTTAGTCATTTCTAGTTTTAGAGTCTATAATATCAATTTATTTAGGTTTAAGTGAAAATGCATACGCCTACATATCTTTTGATTTGGTTTATAATAAACTAGCTGTTACCCGCGACTTCGCCCACAAGGATTTTGCAAGCAAACCCCATTTATATTCAGTATTTCAACAACCATAGTAATTGTTATATAACACCTACCGCTGAGAATGATGAGAATTGCCGAGAATCAAACGAACTATTTTCAATTTGATCAATTTTCTGGAACGTTTACAATCGTTCTATAATCGAACGAATATGCAATAACAAATTCGAATTTAAAACGGTTCGAACATTTTAAAAATCGAAATAGATAAAAATATTTATAACAATGTCTGAAATGTTATTAATTTAATACACCTAAGTACTCGATGAAGACTAAATCCTCCCCTCTCCCCCGAGGGGGAATTTCGAAAAATCCCTTTTTAGTGTGCATTGCCATGGCATACCCTACTAAAACGCAGATAAAAACAAAATCTCGCATCTAAAATAGTACAGTAGAAGCCGTTGTTCCGGTTAAGCCTTAATGCTCTCCCTCTCCCCCCGCGGAGGAATTTCGAAAAATCCCTTCTTAGTGTGCGTTTTCATGACGTACCCTAACTATGTACCAAATTTCACCTCTTTAGGTTCAGCGGTTTGCTCTGGGCGATGATGAATCAATCATTCAGTCAGTCAGGACAAGCAATTTTATATATATAGATATATGAACATTCAATAATTTTTGTCATAGTTACTAATTATTTTAGAAACTGTGTTCCCTGTCTAGATGTATGTGACAACATACCCCTAGCCAGGGTATGTTGTCACAGAGTAAGGGTATATTGTCACAGGATATATGTAGTCTAAGTTCTCCCATTTCCTAAGTTTATTTTAGTTATGTTAAATTATGCGTAATACGACATTTACTCGTGCCAATTCTATAAAGAAAATAGATAATTAATTTACTATTATTTACTCCGCGAAAGACAAGTAACTTGAATCTTTACATATTGTCTTCAGAGTCACAGTTGTGACAAACATAATGTGGATTTACAACTCTACATAGCTGGTGAGACCAAACTCCCACCAAAAACCAAACAGGAGGTCTTTTCTTTCTCTTCTGATGAGTCAGTCTCAGTGACAAGTTTCCCCTTCGATGTGTGACAATTTGCCCCAAATGAACTTCCTTAACAAATCGGTTCATAGTTTCTAGTTTCAAAATACAAAATTCGATTGCTCGTAATGTATATATAGGCTACATTAAGGACCCATCTAATAGGAAATACGGTTGTTACGCACCTTTTACTAAATGCAAGTTTTCAAACGGCACAAGACACGATGCATCAAAGTTTAGGCAACTTGCTGTAAATCTTTAACCGCTAATTAACGGAAAACAATGCAACGTATATTATTCAAATTTTGTAATGACGTAGGCGAGCGGTAAATGAACCCACTCCTAGATGACGTGACCACTCAGTTTTGATTATATAGGCAATATTTGCACTGTGAAAACATCTCCCTTGTGACAACTATCCCCGGTTTCCCCTACTTCTCAGGTTTCGCTGGTCTGTTGCTCTTAACAATCTTCTCACTAGACACACATCTAAGATACTGTAATCGAATGGAATTCGATTTTCTTATTTGAAGTATTTGAAGAGACAAAGGAGAAATTAGGACAAGCCCCATTCCCATTTTTCTACACCAGTATAGTTTATTTACAATTGTGTGCAATCACTCAACAGCTGTGAGGTGCAGTTTTCAACAGAAGATTTATTTGGTTAAGGCAACACGTGGGCGATCTGCCAAGGGGGATGCCTGCCAGGAGGTCTTTTATGGGAACTGGTCACTAGGTGTTACTAGTGTGAAAAAACCTGGAAAAGTCCAGGTGGCAGCCCGTTGGCGAGGCACCCACCCCCTAGCATGCGGTGGTTTTATCCACTTGGGCTATAGGTGGACCTTTCTCCAGAGAGACAAGCATGATCAGTGGTCTTTACCAGCAAAAATTTAAACGGTGCAAAGTATTGCTAGGAGACAATTGTAAAGGAGACATTTGCCAACATCTGGGGCAGAGTTTCATCATTGGATCTGTGGGGAGACCTGTCACTTTGGTTATCGATCACAATCTCCTTTAGTATCTTATTTTAACTACTTGTCATGTCAGAATCTCAAACTTCACTTGGTGGCACTGGCTCAATTTGGACATCAATATTTTACAATTCTTGATGTCCAAATTGAACACTGTAAAGGAATTAACTACTGTGATGCATGATCTCTCCTGGTTGGAAATGAAGGGTGACACCACCGTAAGTGGTGGAGAAGGAGAACATGGATCAGAAAGGTATATAACATCCCTGTGCATGTAAGGAGGAAGGCTTCAATTATATTGTCAAAATGAAAAAAATATTCAGTTGATTTATGTAATACCTTGAGTGCTCATAGATAGAAAACTGAAGGACGGTACCAAATAGGCTTGAAAGAGTGCAATTTGATCCTCGACAGAAGAAGTGTCAAGTAGGCTTCTCAGATTTGGCGCAGAAACAAAAACTCTTCTACTTGGCTGGATTGGTTTTACGAGGAGGACCAGGAAATCATTATGCATAATTAACAAAATTAGCCAGTTGTCCTAGCAAAGACAGACCTAAAATAGTATTAGTGACCTAGCTGAGTGGCTGGTCTTCAGGTCCTCTAAATACCTTAAGAATAGAATTAAAAGGAAGAAGAAAGTAAAGAAGTCTTGACTTCTTTTTGAAATTTCTAGAACATGAATGGAAACATCTTCATATTTATATGCCACAGGAGATTGATTAAAAAATATATACAGTATGTATANCATAAATGTTATGTAGAATTGTACAGAACAATATTTCAAGTCGTTCTGGCTTGAAATATTGTTCTTCCAAGAACAAATTACCTAACCGAAGTATATAAATTTTAACAAAATGTTACAAATTTTCACAGTTAGATGTCAGTTCTGATATATTACAATTTTTTTTTAATTGAATTTTTTATTGAAATGTACAGTATTTAAAAATATCGTATTTATAACTACATATTTTAATAAAGGTAACGTAATTTTTGTCATATGAATATAACGATAACTTGATTTTTGGTGAATTTTTATAATAATATAACTTGTCTGACCTATATTGACCTTGGCCCTTTTAGATAATACACGTAAACAAGGGGGCGTGACAAACGGTAATAAAAGGGTTAATTAATATATGAGAACTTAATATATTTTGTTTTAGTTGCTTGTTTATTTTTATTTTTACACTAGCTGCAAGGATCCGCTTCGCTGGGTTTTTATTTGTATGTAACATAGTTTTTTTTTATATATATAAAAGACTGTTTTTCTAAGTAATCTAGAATCTAGCTGCAAGGNATATATATATATATATATAGAATAGAATATATATATATAGGTTTCTTGGGTCATTAAGTCTGATTTTCCATTGTTTCAACAATCTCTGCGGAAATCCTGCTAGGAGAAACTTCTTCCTTAATTCCATTAGGTCTTCGCTTATATGTGCTACTTGGCTTGTCCGGTTTATGATTTTTTCGTATTCCATTTTATATATATTATATTTAATGTAACGGAAATTTTTTATTGATATCTTATTGTTACTTGGTTAGAGCTCGGTTTCTTGAATGTTCTATATTCGAGATGCTGTTTTAATCTTGTTATTGTAAAATCTAGTAGTTAATGTTTTGTCTTGTTATATCTTCGGTCTCTATTTTAAATTTTATTGCTTTGTGTATACTATTTGTCTGCTTGTTAATTTCTCCTATATTAATTTTTGTTTCGTCATATATTATTAGGATGTCGTTAACGTATCTTTTGTAGAATTTTATTCCTGGTATGTTACATATTATATTATCGATGTCTATCATAATTAATTCAGCAAGTTTTGGGCCGATCACTGATCCCATACTTATCCCATACTTATCCCGTCTGTCTGAGTATAGTATTCTCCATTGCTTTCGAAATAGTTACTTCTGTATGTAGATTCTATTAAGTCTATTATTTCTTTGTTGACGTCTAAGTTTTTTTCTTCTATTAGATCCCAAGTTATTGATGGGTACATATCAACTATGTCGAGGTTGGCTATTCTATACTTCTCTTCTATATTAATTTTGTTTAGTTCTTTTATAAGTTCGTCTGCGTTTTTAATTGTTTTTTTTTTCTATAGAACTGTTAAGAACACATTTAAAATACAAAATTCTTTGCAATATTGTGCTATTTGAATCAAAAGAAAATATTTCAGTAATATACAGTACTAGCTGTTACTCGCGGCTTTGCCCGCGCGGATTTTGCAAGCAAACCCCATTTATATTCAGTATTTCAACAACCATAGTAATTGTTATATAATACCTACCACCGAGAATGATGAGAATTGCCGAGAATAAAACGAACTGCTTTTAATTTGATAAATTTTCTAGAATGTTTTCAATCGTATAATCAAATTAAAACCAATATGCAAAAAGAAATTCGAATTAAAAAATTCGAAATTCGATTTTTTTAACCAAATGTTCGAAACTTCGAACATTTGGTTAAAAAAAATCGAAATATATAAAAAATATTTATAACAGTATCTAAAATGTTGTCAATTTAACACCCCTAAGTACTCAATGAAGACTAAACGTAATTAATAACAAAATATCGCATCTAAAATAGTACAGTAGAAGCCGTTGTTCCGGTTAAGCCTTAATGCTCTCCCTCTCCCCCCGCGGAGGAATTTCGAAAAATCCCTTCTTAGTGTGCGTTTTCATGACGTACCCTAACTGTCTACCAAATTTTACCTCTTTTGGTTAAGCGGTCCGCTCTGGGCGATGATGAATCAGTGAGTGAGTCATTCAGTCAGTCAGTCAGTCAGGACAAGCAATTTTATATATTTAGATATACAATTTAAAAT